CTAGCTCCCATGGGGCGTGCAACACAACAACTTCTTAGATTATCCGCCACCGTGCCTCTGGCACGAAGTGGAGTACCCCACGGCTCATGCAACACAGAGAGGTAGACGCTGTGGTGCTGGTGCAGCGAAAATTGCATTCTTCCAAGGGCCCGGACCAATCGTTTCCCAATCCTTTCCGGGGTTTTCCGGGCTGGCTACCGTGAGTTCTGAGGTATTTCCTGAGCCTCCTGTCGACGCTGTGCCCTCCCCAAAGCAACCTCCCGGACCCTCCCATGAGTCCAAGAGGGCCCCGAGTCGCCGAACGATCGTTCCAGTACGCCCAAGATGGCCCGAAGATGGCCCAAGAGGCCTCCACGACGCCACAAAAGGCCTCCAAGAGGCCTCACAAGAGGAACCGAATAGGCAAAAATCAGTGATGCTCCCCAGGAGGCGCCAAGAGGCGCCCAAGAGGTCCCAAGAGGCCCCCAAGGGGCCCCCAAGAGGCCTCAAGAGGCCTCAAAGAGGCCCCCAAGAGGGCAAAAGGCCTCAAAACTGCCTGCACGAGACCTCCCACGAGACCCCAACAAACATGCAGTACGATTTTTCAGCCACAATCCAGGCACAGTAACAGGAAGGGCCGAGGGCGATTACATACAGATGTATACGATTCAGGCGGTCCTGTGCCTCTCCATATCATCCTCCGCGTCGGATGGGCGCGTTGATGCTGCCACTTGTTGCAGATGGATTGGGTACGTCCATGAAGAATTTCGTTATGCAAGGGGTTCAGAGACAATTGATTGGGCCCGTGCTGTTTTTTTCCAGGGCTGAACCTAACGGTGCTGTTCGTTTTCGTTATGCTGCTCGTTCTTCCCTGCTTTGCCTTCGCTTCGCTTTGAATGCAAAACAAAACGAAAATCAAAACGGCCCACGAGAGGACCAAAACACCGTTTAGGCCCAGTCCTGGCATTTTCCCCGTGAGGCTGAGCGAAGCTCGCATCCCCCTGCCTTGCTGGGGGGATGGCTCAGATAGATGCGCTTTTCAGCCAGCCAGGCGGCTGGACGCTGCTACGACGGGGTGCCTGGCCAGGCCTGCCGAATCAGAGATTGACTTGGCTATGGCTTAATCGATGGCCTGTGGGGGCGTGCCCCCCTACAGGCGGATTTGGGGCGAAAAATGGTTCACAAAAGCAAACCAAACAGTGCCCGAAACCATTCAAACAAAAAAGCGTCCCGTCGACTATGCTTTGACCATCTTTGAAGACTCCCCCTTGTAGGGAGACAGGCCCGACTTCAGCTTAGCCACAGGGGGCCAAGACAAGAGGATCAACTCAAAAAGAAGCCTTTCGGGAGCGGCCAAGAGGGGGGTGTCCAAGAGGGGGGGGTGCAAATCATGGCCGGCGGCATGTGCGCGGCCCAGCGGGGGGGCCAGGGACGGAATGAAACAAGAAGAGGCGCCATGAAATCTGGGAAATATCATGGCCCCCGCCATGAGATCCACCCCCCCCCTAGTCATCACCCCCCTCTTTTCCGCCCCCGAGCCCTGCCAAGGGGGCCCAACCTGCGCCGTGCAGGCCCCGGCTCCTCGGCGCCGGGGGGCCCCGTGGCTCCTCGCGCGGCGTCGAGCCGTGGGGCCACCCCCGGCGGCGGCAGCTCCGCCCAAGAAGGGCCGCTCGTCCTCTTGTCTCCGCGGCTCGCGCGGAGGCAGGCCATGGGGCCGCCCGCGGCGTCGGGAGATCCGTCCCGTGGCCACTCGCCTTTTCGCTCCCACTGCGCTTCCTGCACACGAGGCAGCGGCCAAGAGGGGGGGGGGGTCCAAGAGGGGGGGTGTGCAAATCATGACCGGCGGCATGCGCGCGGCCCAGCGGGGGGGCCAGGGACGTGATGGAATAATGAGATGCGCCATGAGATCTGGGGAAACATCATGGCCCCCGCCATGAGATCCACCCCCCCCCTAGTCATCACCCCCCTCTTTGCCGCCCCCGATGTACACAGGAACACGCTGCACGAGATATCGCTAAAGCATCGCCTGGGTCGAGCCCCGGCCGCTGTCGCCTCGCGCTCAGCGACCGCGGGGGCCCCGAGGAACCCCTCCTTTCCTCTAGCCCTCCTCCTCCTCCTCCTCCTCCTCCTCCTCCTCCTCCTCCTCCTCCTCCTCCTCTTCCTTCTCCCCCTTCCCCTCCCCCCTCCTCCTCCTCCTCCTCCTCCTCCTCCTCCTCCTCCTCCTCCTCCTCCTCCTCCTCCTCCTCCTCCTCCTTCTCCTCCTCCTCCTCCTCCTCCCCCACCCCCCACGATTTCTGAGGGGGAGGGTGGGGCTCACCTCGCGCGGGCGCCCCTCCGCCGAGGATCGCCGAGGGCGCTCCGGAGGTGCCCGCGGGCGAAGGTCGCTCTCCGGGGCGGCACGCTCGGGCAGGGGACGCATGCGAGGGTAGGGGAACAAAAAGTGGCATAAACCTAAAAACTCGGAGAGGTCCGCGCGGATTTCTCGGATCGGCGCTGGGGCCCGCCGGCGGCGCCTCCGGCGCCGCCCCTGGCGCGCTCCGCGCGCCAGGGAGGGGGGTCCAGCGCCGATCCGAGTCATCCGCGCGGACCTCCGAATTTTTATGTGTATGCCACTTTTTGTTCCCCTTAAAACAAGGCTAGGATCGGGATAAATCGCTCCAGAGCGTTCCGGAGCGCTGTCAGAGCGTTCTGGAACGCTCTGGAGCGGCCGCGGCGCCCAATACTATCCTCCAAACCCGCCGATTCTCAGAGATTTCGAGTTATCCCGATCCGATGTTGTCCCGATCTTCGTGTCGTTTTACCTTACCCCTAGGGAGGGCACCCCCCTGCCACCGAGCTCGGGCGGCCACCCCCCGTGCGCGCGTCGGTCTCGGGGGCGCGCGCGCCTGTCTGTCCCTGCTCGCAGGGATTGCTCGAGGGCGCTCCTGGCCCATGAGGCGCAGGCACACGTCTCCGAGCGATGCCCGGGGCCCCTGGAAAGCGAGGCTGGTTCGGAGCCCTGGCGCCGGCTGCACTCCGCGCTGCGCCGCAAGGCGCACCGCCACGAGCGTGCCGTGGCAGGGCCTGGCAGAGCTGAGCACCACTTTCGCAAAAGAGCATCGCACACGAAGTAGCAGTGTACGGCACACAGCGTGGTACTGCTGCATGCCGCATTGTATGCCATTGCAGTGCTGCTGCATTGTGCATTGTATGTCATGTGCAGTGGCTCCAAATTACCATGTATGTACTTCATCGCATGTTTTGACATCAGTTCTTATAACTTGCCATCTCATTGCGCTGCACTGCGCTACGTTGCTTTTGCTTCGCTGTCGATCGCATACAGCCGTTTTCAGCTCTGCTTGGTTCAAATGAGCCTCTACGGGGTGCGGGCAAGACTTGTCTCAATATCCGCAGCGTCTTGGAGTTTCCGGCTCCCTTCCCCAGTAACCACAGTCGCAGTGGACACGGATGAAAATCTGGCCCCCAGAGGCCAGATCAATATCCATAGCCACTGCACCTCGGCCGTTGGGCGCTCCTTCCCCGAAAGTCCAAGACGCAGTGGGTATCGAGATCCGCCCCCCCCCCTTGCCGGGGGTGAGAAGGCGTGTGAGATGACTAGCTGCCCCCCTCCCCCTTTCCCCCTCCCCCAGGGTCCAAAATCCCGTTGGTGGGGGGGTGAAAGAGGTCGGGGATCTTCAGACCCGGGTCAATCCAAGCCCGGGTCAGTCAGGCCTTGCGGAATCCTGCAACATCCTGCAAGATCCTGCACCAAAATCTGGGCCAATGCGAAATATCCTGCAAGATCCGGCAGGATCCTGCACCCAAACCCGGGTCAGTGCGACCCTGGCCCTGCAGGATCCTGCAAGATCGGGCGCTCTGGCTGACCCCCGTTTGCATTGACCCCCGTCTCGTGAGTCCCAAAGAGGGGGGTATCTGGAGAACTCTGCCGCCTGCGGCCCCAAAGACGTGCCAAGACGGTCTAGGATCGCCGCACAGCTGCCCCTAGACGCCCACGATGGCTCCAAGACGCCTCCAGACGCCTTCCAGACGCCCCAAGAGAGCCCAATGACGGCCAAAGATCGCCCCAAGAGAGGCCAAGAGGGAGAAGACGAATCGAAGATCATATCTTTCCGCCCCAGGTCCCCCAGAAGCCCCCAGCGGCCCAAAAGAGGCCTCTAACAAGCCTCAGGAGACCCTCCAAGATGCCCCAAAGGTCCCCAAGAAGCTTCAAACATGGTTCCAAGAAGCTCAGCCACGCCCCCCAAGACGCCAACAAGAGCCCCCAAACAATGCCGAAGGAGCCCACGACGCCTCAACCGTGGACTCCCCGTGGACTTCACGAAGCCTCTTGAGTAACTCTGGCCCGCGAGGGGGGGTCGCGCAGGAATCCACGTGGCTGCCTGGCACTCAGAATGGCGGAACCGACACGGCCACCGCCGCCAAGCCTCCCACCCCTGCACCTGCTCCTCGCTCTGCTCCCCTGCCTCCTGTCCTGCCTCCCGGTCCTCATCCCACTTCTGCCCCCTCGCCCTCGGAGGGGCCATCTCCTGCGGACGTGCAAAAGCCACGTCGCTTTCCCGAGATGCAACGGCGAGTCGCGCGTACTCCGTTCTGCTCCCCGTATCGTTAACAGAGGGCCTTGAAATTCATTATGAGCGTCGCAGCGCGCGGGCACCTGGAGCCATTGAAACACGTTCTGCAAGCGCACTCCGCGCGCACCGCGACTCAACTGCAAAGCGGCCTACAATGCACGCATCTCCTTGCAATGCGTACCGGGTGATTGCGGTAATTAACCGTGACAGGCGAGCGAGCGCAGGTGCATTGCCATCCAAACAATTACACATCGTGCTTACAAGCAGGTAGGACGCCAGAACGTCTGGCGTATATCAGCAGCGTGCATTCTGAGGGCGCGCCTCGGACTCGCATCTGACTGTAGCGAGGCCCAGGCAGAAGCCACAGCAGCGCGGGGGCGTAGGGAGGGACGAAGATTGAAACATCCTCGCAGACGGGGCCCGATGACCTCCAGCCTGGGCAGGATCAGTCCCTCCTTCACGAGGATATAACCATGCACCAGCGAGCAATACCATGCTACCAGCTGTCCGAATCCCCTCGAAGCCCGCACACACCCAACGTGAGACGTAATCGCTCCTGCTCTGAACCACCTCCCGTCCAGCAAAAAGCGGTTGACTGGAATCCAGCCTCCGGATTCGGCTCCCAGTCCCCCAGCTTTCACTCAATACACAAGCACTCGTACGAGCAGGGAGGCTGCACGAGAGTGAACGCTCCACTGCCACCACCAAGATAATCGTCCCCACAGTCCCCGATGTCGCACTCATCGTTGACACCATGGGCGCTGCGATCACGGTCACCAAATC